GGGCACGCTGCAGTTAAGCCCGCAGCCTGGAGGCCTGGGGAGGGGGGGACAGGGGAGGGCTTCGGAGGAAATGTTTGGACGAGAGCTCAGCCTTCCAGGCTCTCCGCAGCCGCGCCGGTGTGGTCGGTGGATGGAGCACATTCTTACACCTGCGTGCAAAGCCGGAGCTACGGCATGATCTGAGCTCTTGCTTAGCGCAGCTCCCGTGTGACCGGGGGGAGGGCGGAGAGGAGCCGGGCCTGGCGGCGGAGCTGGTTTTTTGCAGTGAACTAGAATGAAAGTAGGTGAAAGCAACCAGCAAGATTTTCTAGCTTGTTTCTTCCCTTCCTTCCGTCTACCTGCCTGCCTCCCTCTTGGCATATGTGTAAGAGTACAGATATGCTGGCAAATAAAGTTCAAAGCAGCTGGTTTGCTTTTTGTGTGTTTGTGTGTTATGAAAGTCTCTATGACCTGAACCGTGAGGAGAGGACAGCGTTGAACACGGTCACGGGCCAAATCAGCCAGTTGAAAACTGTGGTTTGGAAGGTGCACAATATCCATTGGTGCAGCCTGTGTAGAGGAGGCAAGAGTGCTTTGTGACAAGATGCCTGCATGATACAGTGGTTTGTGGGCTGTCAGGGAGCTATGTGGAGTGGCAATTCATTAAAGTCTAAATTAGATTAACGTTTTACATGCATTCATTATTTGCATGCAGAAGAGAGTAATAACAGTGAATAGTGAATAAGCTGCTTTGCCCCAGTGTAAATATGTGGTGAAGAAAGTATACACTGATTGTGATAACCTGTTAGTAGAAAGTCAGGTCCATTAATCAGCAGTGAAGGCAGGAGATCTGAGGTGGTGTCTTATGAAGACCACTTTTACCTTTCACAGTGCAACGTTCAAAAGCGGATCAAAATCGTGGGACATGGCGCAAGGAAATAATTATGGGCAAAGCAGCAATGGGGTGGCTGATGAATCCCCAAACATGCTGGTGTACAGAAAGGTAAGCCTTTGTGTTTTGCAAAATCTGAGGAAGGGACATCAGAAAATGGTTTAAGTCCTGAATCTTTTGCCTAGCAAGAAAGGCCATTATTTTTACTGTTTCTGTCCCCCTTCCTGAAGAGATGCTGCTGCTGTGCTTTACCATGAATGTAGAGATGTGATTTCAGAACATGATTATCTGATACAAATTTGGAACATTTTGTATCTGTTGATATCTGTATCTGTTGATATGTTACTAATGCAATTTAAATGGCATGTGAAAAGTAGATCTGTATCTGAGTTACTTTATAGACTTCTTAAAAAAGAAATTATTGGATTTGTTGTTCTGAATGTTCTGATTGTTAAAGCACACATGCATGTGTCAACTTCACATCATGTTCAGCAACAGTTGGGTTTGAATTTGTTTAAACATTCTCTTATGTTGTCTGAAATGTCTACACGATAACTCTCTTCTGTACTACTTGATGTGTTTTATTCACTTTCTGCATTGATGCATATGGGATGCAATGGTGGTGGTGATGTATCAGAGACTGAAAAAGCATTTTGAGTTTTTGGGGTTTTTCTGTATGTTTTTTTAACAAGTCCTCCCTGGTAACATCTATCTTTAAAATGGATTCAAATATTTTAAAACTGAATATTAGCTACGTGTTACAATATCTTGTATTTCTTTGGATAGAGATTCTCAGAGTGCAGGAAAGTCGGCACCGTTAACTTGTTTCATATGAGGGGAAAAACAGATTAAAGGTATTACTTCTCTGCAATCACCAGAACTTAAGAAAAACCATGCACTCCCGGGATTCTCTCTGCAAAAGGATTTTTAATGTAGTTATTTTAGTAGCATCGATATACAAATTTCCAGACATTGAACTCCAGTAATGGGGTTTATTTAGCCACTGTGCTTTCATTTAAGTGACAGTAAATGCTTGGGGATTTTGAGGTGGGTTGATACTTTTTTTAAACTTGGCAGTTGTGTTTATTTTGATAAAACTTTAATTGCATTTATCAAAAAAGAATAACAAAATAAATTCTAGTGATAATGGAGAAAGATAACTACTCTTACAAACTGAAATATGTTATTATGTAACTACTTGTTTATTCCTAGAGTTCTGTGCTTTTTAACTTGTTTATGGTTGTTTTTATCAGGTGGAAAAATAATACTTATATTTTGTTAGAGGCATTGACTTTTATTTTTGCAAGTTAGCTGTAACAGAAAACATCTGATATATACTCAATTGAGTCTTAACACAACTTGGATAGTAAGACAAATTGATGTGAGGTGAACTGAGTTGTCGTCATTAATTGTGGTAAGTCTTTTTTCCCAGAAATTATAAAATTGTCTCTAATTGAAGTCTGATGTATGCTTCTGCTATTCCATGTTTTCAAATACGATGATGATTTCAGTGAATTCTAATGGTATTTGCTATTTTGAAAAATTAGGCCATCTTTACGGAAGTGATTAGAAAGGAATTTAGTAACTTAACCTTTGTATCCGTATGTATAAGAATGCACATCTAGAATAATACGGGGTCATCTTGCCATTAACATCATGAGTGTGTTTCAAAATGAAATTTTGTGCATGAATGAATGGGTCAAAATATGCTGCATATTTAAACACAACATACCAAAACTTAGTTGTACATTTAAGGCTTTTGATCTTTCAAAACAGTTTTTATTTATCATTTTCTGTACTGAGAAGGAACCCTCTTCTTTACTACTTTAGTATACAGAGGAAGAATGTCGAGAAACTGTGTTTGTCTTCTCCTGTGGTATCGTGGTCTGAGGAGCTGGCCAAGCTTGTGACCCATTATGTTTAGTGTGAACTCATGCCCCAGTTTAACGTTGTCCCTGAGCAGCCTCCAGATTCAAAGGAAACTTTTGAGATAAGTGACATGAACCCTGATGAATCAGGGGAATTTTGAAACTGGGAGTGAGGGCAGGACACAAAACTCCAGCTGTATGCTTAGCAGGATCAGAGCATCAAACACCTTCTCACTTCTGCGGAGATCAAAGATACAGGGATGGTACCTGCTTGTGTCTTTCAGTTTAGCAAGGGCCCTTATTTTGTTGTCGTCATTCTTAAAGTGCAAGTGGTTTGCGGACTCTTACGTTTACGAAGAACGCTGACCTTCTACAATATTACCAGTAATATTTATTTTTATCGATCTTAACTTATTCCTATAGGAAGGTAAGACAAAAGGATCATTAAATATTGTGCAGACAGATGTTAGATTACTGGGAGAAAACTTTAAATACTTCTTCCTTTAGCACTATTTGAGGAATAGGCAACAAAATAATAGCTAACGTATTTAAAAGTCACCTACCTACCTTCTGGTACGGCTGTAATCAAACGTATTATAGCTTCTGTGTCTAGAACATAAGAAAAGATTAATTAGGTAGAAATCATTTCAATTCAGAATATATTATCTCTGAATATAGTTCTTTATTAGCAACAACTACATCACAAGATTTCTTGTAATACGTTTGAAAACACAATACTTCTCTATCTGTCATTGTGTTAGGAATGAAAGCTCTGTGCTGAGTGAACAAAGAACTAGATCTGTCAGCTTCGTGAAGGACTTTTTTTTTTTTTTTGGCCAATTGAAAAAATATTAATAGTTGTTAGTAAAAAAGTACGTAAATATGATATTGGCTGGCTTCAGAAGGAAACTAAATTTGAAATCTTAAATCTCATTGCTCAAATATACAAATGCTGAAATGCTTTCTCCCAGTGGTTTATACAACATCAACACATAAAGTAGCACACATTTTGTGGTAAATGTGCCTGGAAGGAATAGATAATGCTTGAAATCAGAAATCTGATCCAAATCTGTGTTATTACAAAGATTTAGGGTTTGCAAATTCAATATTTAAGGCTTGAATCATAGTCATTATTGCACTTTTTTAGGTTGAAAACTTTTGACAAGCAATGTTGTTCTTTCTTTCCTTTTTTTTTTTTTAAATATGTGGTTGATTTCTAGTTAATTTCTCATTCTGAGGATTGAAGAAAGTGGTTTGTCTGGAAAAAAAAGGAAGAAGACCTTGTAACCTAGGATGGTACAATATAGATAGCATTTTTTTCTCAAAGTAGCTCCTATTCATAGACAAAGAGGGTTTCATTGTGTTTTGCTTTCAGATCTGAAATATTTTTTAAAAATTCAGCATAAACTATTTTAATTAAATATTCAGTGCATAAATAACCAACTTATTTGATGGAAAAGACAGTAGTACCGATAAATAGCTCCTTATATCATTTTTACACTGCCTCTTAAGATGCTTGCATGTCAGTGTTGTTATGCCTTAGGGAATACTTTTTATTTTAATAGAGTGTCAGTTGCGTTATTCTTTTTTGACTATCAGCATAATTATTAAATAATGAAATATGACACATAGTTGGTGCTGACATACCTTTAAAAAAGTCCTGAATTTTTCAGCTGGTAGCCTGAGGCAAACCTAAAATGTAAAAAACCTGCTTTTATTTCCTCTCTAACAGAGCCCATTTCAGTCAGCAATTAAAAGACATGACAGCACTAGAATCCTTAGTATTTGAGCATCATGAGTTGTTCGTATGAATATCTTGTTTTTGAGCAACACTAACTTGTTGCTGGAAGTGAGATCTTAAAAAACAAAACAAAACAAAACAAAAAACGAAAAACAAAACCCGGCAAAACCTTGAGATGTAATATAAGGCCTGTATTGTGCAATTTTTCTAAGCTGCAGAGCCTGACCTGTCTGTATTTTATCTTGTACCTGTCACAAATAATTTAAAAGAATAAGAGTTATCTTTTGAGGAAAGCTTCCATATTAGAACTACTACTCCTACTGGGCATTTGTTTATCATTTTGTTTTGTTCTTGGCTTACTTTTTTAGTCAAGCATATGCTGCAAAGATTAGTAGTTCTAGTTTGCAAGTTTAATATTTATTGTATGGCTACCCGAGTTACTTCAGTTGAGAGAAGATAGCCTTTTTTTTTTTTTTTTTGTAATAGTAAGATTAGCCTTGTCTGAATAGTAGTATTCTTGTGACTGAGATTTTATTTCTCTGCTTTCCTCACTGCCCCTGAATATTAAAATAGCTTTTGCCAAAGCTGATTAGTATTGCTAACAGTTGGGGCTTTTGATGCTGTAATGAGGTGTTTGTTCTGTTCTTGTGTCAATTGTTGAAGGTCATATTTGCCAGTACCCACGTTTGGCAAAGGCTGATTTGTGATTTCAAGCTACTTCTTCATTTACCATGATCTGATATTCTTCGTAGAAGCAATACCTCCAAAGTGTGATACTTAAAAAATGTTATTGTAAAGGAGCAACAGCCATACAATGACGGCATTTGAGAAAATCGTGACAGCCATCTTCTAATAATCATTCTTCTTTCCTTTACCTGTACCAGACATGACTTTCAGTGCGGAGTACAGATAAAATTGTGTTCTTGTGTGGCTTTTAGCAACTATTCACTTAAAAAAGATTGTTGGAAGAAATTACTGTAGCAGCTAACTATATTCCTTAGAGTTTGTGAGACTACGGAAGGACATGGTAGTTGGGAGTTTTCTAAGTGCTGCCACTCACTTTGGTAAGGGAAGAATTAGCCTAATAACATGCATTTGTGAATACATCATTGCAAACTGGCATCTTACGCCTACTGTAAACTACTGAGTTTGTTATTACAATGTTAATGCAAATGCCAATGCAAGCTAAGGTGCTAGAGTTAACTTTTTTGAAACTAAATTGCAGAACCTCTACGTTATGCCATTTGTTCATCTGGAAAGAGCAGCGGTGCTATTGCAGTTTGTGCAGGGCTTGGATTCACATCTGTTTTTGATTTTTTTTTTTTTTTTTCCTGACTTTCCCAAATACAGAGTTGACTGAGACAGGTCCATGTTTGTGGACCTCAGGAGTTCCACCTGTAGAAATAAAGGAATTTACCTTCCTCTCCGGTATGAAAGTTATGAGGGTTTGTCATAATTCCAGAGTAGGTGATTGATACTGAAATAAGGTATTACACAGGTCA